TTTTTTTTTTTTTTGGAGGGGAGGGTACTGGGGATTAAACTCAACCACTGAGTCATATCCCCAGCCCTTTTTTCTATTTTATTTAGAGACAGGGTCTCGMTGAGTTGCCTAGCGCCTCACTTTTGCTGAGTTGTTAATCTTGATTAAAATTTGTACAATATTTTCAGCCCAGTAGACTATTTACAAAAAGATTTATTTCGATCTCACTTTACACTTGATAAATTTCTGTGTTTAAATTTTCTGTAACAGCTGGGCATGGTGGCACACACCTTTAATCCCAGTGATTTGGGAGACTGAGACAAGAGGATCAGAAGTTTGAAGCCAGCCTTGGCAATTTAATGAGATCCTCAGCAACTTCGCGGGGACTTGGCTCAAAATTAAAAATAAAAAGAGCTGGGAATGTGACTCAGTGGTTAAGCGTCCCTGGGTTCAGTTCCGAATACCAAATAAATAAATAAATATTTTCTGTAATGTTGTCTGCTTATTTATCCCTTTTAGTGACACTATCACTCACACTTTGAATTAAAGCTTACTGCCTAGGCTAGAAGATGAAAGAAAAAAGCTCTAAGACATTAACACACATAGCAATTACCTTGGACTAGGAGACTTTGTTTAGACTAGACTTTAAATAACTCATTCCCAAATTGGAATGAAGAACAATTTGAAGATGAATAGAATGGATGTTTAAAAAGCAAAACAAAAAGATTTTGCACATCTCCTACATTAAGGTATGCTGCCTTTATTCAATAGGAAGTTTGCTAAATCAAGAAAATACCAACAAGTAAAAAAAAAAAAAGAAAAAGAAAAGAAAGAAATGTGAGCATGGATAGGGATCTAAACTACAAATTCCTTTTGAATTTTTCACAACTTACCTTCTCCAAGATTTTACTCTGTACACTTCCCTCCTTGGCAACAAGTTCATTCCGTTTGGTATTTGCAAATTTTGTGACACATTGTATGTAATAAGATGATGACTTCTCAAAAATGTGTGTTAGCTCTTGCTGTTTCAGTCAACTAATTTTATTGAGTCTTCCTTGTGAAAATGACTCTAGGCTTGGTCATATGCTATTCTTCTGGTCTCTTCTTGTTTTTGTCAAATAAACACCAACTCCATAAAACCAAAGTAATAATGTCAGCCCTATTTTGGTTTTAGTTAGTGACAGAGTCTCATTGAGTTGCTTAGTGCCTCGCTTTTGCTGAGACTAGCTTTGAACTCGTGATCCTCCTGCCTTAGCCTCCCAAGCCGCTAGGATTACAGGAGTGTGCCACCATGCCCGGTGTTATTTCTGATTTTTTTACTGAACTGAATGATTAATTAGTTTTTATGAGAAGGTAGTGGGGATCAATGAAAAGAAAGTAAATTACAAGATCTAAGTCTTCTAAACTAGAAGACCTAAGTTTGAATCCACCCAGCTTTGCAGCCCACTGGTTGGTGCCTTTGGGAAAGCTACACTTCGTTAAACCTAATTTCTTCCCAATATCATACAGATAACAGTACTTTGCAGGATTKCGGGAATTAAATAAGAATAACTCAGGCTACTCCCCACCCCAGAGTATACCTGCAAGAAAAGTTAGTTTCCTTTTCCTTTTCCTCACATTATTAGCGTTGGTGTGATTATTTGATCATGAGTAAGAACGCCTGAATTTTGTTTTCAGCTTTCTGAGATGTCTGTGCAGCCCAAAAATAGAATCTGAGTGAAATCACCTAGAGCCTGGCACACTGGCATATTCCATGCTAACTAACATTATGAAAGGAGAATTCAAACTCATTTTCCTAACCCTAACTTTCAAAAACATTACTGCCCTGTGTTGATTTGCTCAGAAATAACATTTAAGGCATTTAAATCTAGTTTCAAATGAATGAAGCTCTTAAATTGTTTCAGCACAATGACTGTAATAAACAGAAACAAACAAACAAAAAAGTCTTCAAAAGCATTCATACTGCCTTCCGGTGTCCTACCTTWGAGTATTAATGCCTGATGCTTGTCTGTATAGCAAGTCACACTCCCAGGTAAAATATCACAGAAAAAGTATATTTGCCTTTTTTGTCTCTCCTAAATTTTCTCTTATTTTTTGTTGTTTTGTCATACCAAAGAATTCCAGGATTGATTTTGATCAGAGAAATTAAAAACTGAAAAGTCCTAAAGTGTTCCTTTGGAAATACTTACTCAAGAGGGAGTATGTTTTATATCCACTTTTATCCTTATTTTTTTTATAAATGCATTTAAATATTTGCAGCACAACATTAGACTCAGGGCTAAATTCTGACTCGGGCACCTACTTGCTATGTGACTTTGGGAAAGGTTTTTTTTTTTTTTTTTTTTTTTTTTTTTTGTAGTATTGGGAAGATTAAACCCAGGGCCTTGCGCATGTGAGGCAAGGATTCTACCAACTGAACTATAACCCCAGCCCACTTTGGGAAAGTTTTTAACCTCTTTCCAGCCCTGAGTTCTTATATGTAAAATGAGAATTTTAACAGTACCCACTTCATAGATTGTTGTCCTTTTTT